AAAAAAAAACATGCAAATTAAAGTAAGATTAAAAAACAAAAAACAGAGAAAGCACAACATACTATTTGCGGATTAAAAATTTTAGAAATGCAAAATCTAATGGCATCCAAAATTACAGTAAGGTAACTTAAGCATGAAGACTTAAGAAGATGTTAAAGGAAAAAACAGACAACAAATAAAATACAAAATACAACACAACAACAACAAAAAAGAAAGCATTAAAAATCATTAGTGATTAGTTAGATCAGAACTTTTCAAATTAAAGTGGCTAACTGGTTAAGATACTGTTACCCCCAATATGATGATTATAAAATAAAATATGAAATGATTAATACAAGGTATGGAATAAAACGGTTTTCAACAAAAGAAAAGATGCACAGGACTTTTTAGTAAACGTAAACTTCCAAATTTTGACATTAACATATTTAAAATCTCAAGCATTAAAAAGAAAATTCATACTTTTACCCTAAATAAGTGAAAGTACGATGGGAAGAGATTATACATGAATTAATAATTTTCCAAGTATTTTCAAGGAACAAAATATCTATCTTGAGGCTAATTCCAGTACTAAGTTAAATATTATCTCATTTCCCCTCCTGAGTTTACAGAACTTTCAAGTAGCTGACACCTCAGCTAGCCAGGAAAGAAAGATTGAAGTCTTTCAACCTCATAGGTTCCACATAGGTGGACAGATCAGTAATTCATAGTTAGCCTGAGGTATGCTTCTTTTCATCACTTAAAGATCCCTGACACAAGAGAAAACCTGAGTGAACTAAAATGCAGACCACACACACCTTGTTCCTGAATAGGACAATCCATACAGATGTTGCTTACCCTATTTCCCCTAAATTCACCCATAAATGTAACAAACCCCCAATTCAAAAAACAAAAAAAAAAAAAGAAATGAACAGGATTGTTTTCAGACCTAGGCACATTAATTCTAAAGTTCATTTGAAAAACAAACAAAACAGCCAAGAAAATTCTCAGACAGAAGAGGAATAGTAGGCATAAGCCGTACATTAAAATATATTTAAAAGCTATAATAATTAAAAGAATGCAGTATTGGTCCATGAGTAAACACACCACTGGAACAGAAGACAGAAGTCCACAAATGCATCTAAATTCATGGGGAAATTTAATAGATGATAAAGTTGTAACTGGCTATCAGTGGGGGAAAGGGTTATCTAACAAACGGTATTGGGATGATTAAGTAGCTATGTCAGACCCTGGAGCTTTCTTTCTTGCCAACAGATCCAAAACTCCATCAAGAATCAGGCTGGAATACGTTCAGGGAGGGCAGGCTCAACTCCAGAGGATCAATTGTGACTGGTCTACGCCATTCACAGTCATTCCATTGTTCCGCAGCCACTGGTTTAGAGGTGACCGAGTGACCAAGTTTAGGCCAGTGAAACATGAGAAACCTGCCCCCACCGTTCTTACTTTGGACATGGCCGCATAAGGAAATGACATGTAGAGCAGTCATTGAGTGACCATAAAGGAAGAGACAAGAAAATCACAGCGATGGTAACCCAAAGTGATCAAGCCTGAAACTACCAACCTCTAACTTTCTCCTTATGTGAGATAATAAACCCCTGTTATTTAAGCCACTTTTATCACTCTGTTTCTCACAACCAGAAGCATCCTAACCAATTCAATAACTGGCTGAGAAGAAAATTGTTTTGGCTCCTGATACTCATTACTCTCAAAATAAAATCTAGATGGATCACAGATTTAAGATAAAAGAAAGTACTAGAAGAAAATACAGGCCATATTTTCACAAGTTTTGGAAATGGGGAAAAGCAGGGCCACTCTAAGTGTGATACAAAACCTAACAGCCATAAAAG